CTCTCCATGAGTTTATTATTGGTGTACAGAATGTTATTTATTTTTGAGGATTGACTTTTTGTCCAGATAAGCTACTGAATTTGATAAGCCTAGGAGGGTTTTGGTAGAATTTTGGGAATTTCTATGTAGAGTATCATTTCATCTGTGAATAATGATAATTTAAGTTGTTTCTTTTCTAGTCTCACACATGTTATTTCTCTCTCCTATTTAATTTTCCATGATAGGATGTGCAGCACCTTATTGAATGGGTATGGTGATAATGGACATGTTCATCTTGTTCCTGATTTTAGAGTGAAAGCTTTCTGGTTTTGTTCATTTAGCAAGGTAGTGGTTGGTTTGACAAATAACTTTTTTTAGATTGAGAAAAAGAACACTTATTCTATTTCTCAGTATGTTTTTGTCATTAATGAATGTTGGACTTCATCAAAAGCTTTTTCTTCAGCCATTGAGAAGGTAATGTAATTTTCATCTCTAGTTCTATTGGTATGGTATACTACATTTATTGATTTGCGTGTGTGGCACTATCCCTGCATAACTGGCATAAAACACTGTTTGTCATGTTGTATAATCATCTTCATAATTTACTATATTCTGTTTGCTAGTATCTTATTGAGGACTTTTGCATCTATATTCATTACAAGGATTGACCATTAGTTTTTGTTCCTTGCTTGGGTCTTTCTCTGATTTTCAAAAAACAATAAATAAATAAATAAATAAATAAATAAACCAAATAAAATAAAATCATCTATAAAGGAAAAAATAAAGTATTTGAGGTGCACTTGCATTTATTTATTAATTTATTTATTTTTAAACTTCTTCTAGATTTCAGCAGTGAATCTATCATCCCCTGGACTTTTCTTTGTTGGCACATTTTAATTTACATTTTCAATTTCATTGAAAGTGGATCATTCCTGATTTTTAAGTATGTTATTTGTTCATTAATTTAGAAAGATAGTTTTATATAGTACACTAATATAGCTTGGAAATTGTTTTCTTTCAGGACTTGAGATACTTTACTCCAAGAGTTTCTTCATTTGAGGGTTCATATTAAGAAGTCTGCTATGATTGTAAGGGGCTTTCCTTTATAGGTGATCTGGTTCTTCTTCATTATTGCTTTTAATATTTATTTTCTGCTGAATTTCTTGGATCTTGATTATTATACATCTGGCTATAGATTTATTTTGTTTATTGGTAATTTGAGTCCTCTATGCCTTACTTATCTCTTTGTCAGATTCTTTTCCCATGCTTGGGAAGTTTCTGTTATTACTTCTGTGATTTTTTTTCTGTCATTTGTGTTAAGCCCTGATCCTTTGGTCATATAAATTATTCTTATATTACTTTTCTTTGTGTCATTGTGTAGGTGTTGAATTGTAATTGTCTGATATTTTGTTAGTTTCAAGAAATAATTCCTTTCATGATCACTGGGAACAATACTGTCTTCAATGCTTGAAAGTCTAATTTCAGGGCTGGTGAGATGGCTCAGTGGTCTAAAGCACCTACTTAGAACAAGCTTAGCAAAGCACAGGGACCACGGTTCAATCCCCCAGCACCACATGCCAGCCAGCCCTCCCCCTGGTGGGCTGAGCTGGCCACACACACACACACATACACACACACACACACACACACACACAAATAAATAAAAATAAAAAAAAGAAAGTCTAATTTCAGTTTTGTTCAAGTAATTTTTCCAGCTTCCAGTAGAATTTTAAAATTTCTAGATATTTTCAAATGTTTGAATGCATTTTACACTTTCTATTTCTTTCCTATTAAATATTCATCATTTCCATTTTTTTTCCTAGCATCATCTATTTTTAATCTATCTCTACTCTAGACTTGCTAAGTCATTTGGGAGCTGAAATCTTCTAAATCAAGGAAAGGCAACAAGGACTGTCAGTTCCACTGAGAGAAGAATGTTGCCTTCTGAGCAGGATGCACAGAAGAGCTGGACAACAGGTAAACTTCCAGAGACAAATTTTCACACTGGAAAATTCATCTTTTTTTTTTTCCTTTGGCAGTACCAGAGATTGAACTCAGGACCTTGCACTTTTCCGGCAGGCGCTTATGCCACTGAGCTGTATCCCTGGCTGGAAACTTCTAAGGGGAACATTTTCTCTAGTGCTAGAAAGCCCTCTATTTGCGTAAAACATCAGCACATTAAGAATGTCAATTTTCAGGGAACACTGGAGAGAAGTAACATGATGGATAAAATCAAGACCAAGAACAATTAACATGTTTTCTTTGCCTACTCTATTTTTGTCTTTCTATTCCTTTGTTTACTAATGCATTTATACAAAATGAGATCCATTTTGTAATAGTGAGAGAAAATGAAGTAAAGGAGAAGTTTCCATCAGGTGGCAATAGAGCAACAATGCGGCCTGGGAAGTTGAGATTGGGCTCTAGTTCTACTACCTAACAGTTGCATAAACTTGGAAAAACTAAGTTTACCAACGTGTATGTGAATTTACTAAGCTTTCCCTTGTAAGAATGCATGAAGTACATGGAGCCTATGGAGCAAGAAGAGTAGAAAAACTTTCCAACATTCAGAGACTGGCAGGATTAATATTATTTTGATCCCAGATCAAATTACCCAGAAACAGGACCTTCATTCTTTGGAGTTCAGGATAGTTCATATACTAAAGAATTTATACTATTATTATTTTGTTTTTCATGGTGCCAGGGATTGAACTCAGGACATTGAATTCGCCAAACAGGCACTTATTCTACTGAGTTATCTCCCCAGTCCCCATACTATTACTTAAAGAATAAGGAAAACAGTAAAAAAATAGTTGTCATTCCTAAGTAAAGCTGCTTATTTTTAACCATACAATTGTCCTCTCTACCTGGTTGGAACTCAGACTCCTGGCATTATTGTCAATGTACAATTCTTTTATTTTCCAAACCACAAACAAAACATCTATGCTATATGTAATATTTAATCTCCACAAAATACATCAATGAAAGTCTGGCGAATTACATGCAAAGTAACAATATGAAAATGCAGTTTGAATGAAGTGGCATCTAACTCACTTTCAATAGAAATGAGCCAAAGTATAGCATGTGCAGTGCTCTGAGTCATACCCCAGTTTTGGTTGATAAAACATGCTCTGGTAGTGGCTTCTGCAAAGGCACCTGAAGTGGTTGATACCCTCATTTCTCAAATTCTCTGCAGAAAATATGCACAGAACCCCTGGTTTGCCCAATGTATTGAGCAGAATTGAAAACAGAGTACAAGACATCTTGCATTCCTCTTCAGGTATAAATTTACCTCTCCTTTATCCACCATCCTGAGGGTACTTTCCAGAAGCTTTTCACAATATACTGAATGGTCCTTCACTCCACCACTCCTGTCCAAATCTAGATGCTAAAGACATCATCCTCATTTGATGGTATTTGAAGGTGTGTCTTTCTGGAAGTCATGTCTTCTATTTATGAAACTGAGTTCCCGTATTGTGATATTTGTCCCTGTGACAGAAGAACCAAGATCTCTCATTCTTTGGGTTTGTCTGTCTCCATCTCTCTGTCTCAGTCTTCCTTCCCTTTACACACACTTTGTCCTCTCCATCCCATTTTCTCCTCCCTACTCCTATTCCTCCTTCCCAGCCTCTCTGCTCCTCTTTCCTCTTCTACTCGCCCCTTCTCACTTCCCTTCTCCCTCATTATCTCCATCTTTCATCCCTTTCCCTTCTATTTCCTACTCTTCCTCTCTCCCTGTCACAATCCTCCACATTCATTTGAGAAAACAAAAAGATGGAAAGTGTACCACTGGTTTTGAACAACTTACTGATTATATGTGCTTCTCTGCAGCCACCACTAAAATCATATGCTGAAGCCCTGACCTCCAATGTAACAGCATGTGAAGGAGAGCCTTGGGGCCAAAAGAGATGTAGATGAATTTGACAGAGTGGGTCTCTGTGTTGTGATTTATAGCTTACTTACAAGTCCCAAAGGGTAGTCTAATGAACTGCTGCTCACATTGCACCTCTGGTCTCAAAATTCCAAAAACAGAACCTAGGACTTCTGCACTTTAGCACCCAGCAACTACTATACATCCTATCAAAAATGGTATGCTAGGTTAATGGATGCTGAAAAAAGCTCAAGATATATAAAAGATAATAAAACTTTTATTTTTACCCCCTAGAACAAGAAAAAACACGTATAAAACATTGTTATTAAAAACAACAGAAACTAAAATCATTAAGAGAATTCACATGTTTATCATGTCTCCAATTTATCCACCACTGTCTTATGCTGCACGCAGTAGGGTTCTTCAACTTAAACATGTTTAAGAAAAAATAACCTACAATAGTATTCTATTTTCTAAACAGGAAATGAGACAAATGAAGCTGCCTTTTAAGCTACCAGCCTACAGTGTTCTTTCATAGTAGACAACGCATTTACAGGGCTTCACATAATAATCCTGAGCCACAGAACAGGACAACACAGCATTAACTGAGTACTTCCAATATTAGCTTTCCACAAAGATAAACAAAAATTATATCCCACCAAAAACTTGTGATTTTCAAAGTCCCAAATTCTTCCTTAGGAAATTTTCAACTCAGTGTTCACAAAGATAACCTCATCAAATCATTACTTTTAAATTACATGAAAGTCCTAAAGTAAGTTCAACAAATTTCTTATAATATTGCAAAACTGAGAATTACAACTTCTAGAAGCAGAGACTGGGTCTTCATCATATGACTACAAGTGCATTACCTAAAAATTTGCCAAAGAGCATATATTGAATAAATATTTGCTAAATTACAGTCAAGGACCATGAAGGCTAACTGATAAAGAGTTAAGTGTAACTTACAGAAAATCACCATGAAACATTGCAAAGCATTCAATTTCCACAAACTGAAGCAGTGAGGAAAGAAACAAGTGAACTTAGTATAAGCTTTTTTGTTACACTGAATCATCCCCTACTGTGGGGTTTTGTAACATTTGCAAGAAACCTCTGTGTTGTAAATCCTATTTAGATAACTGGATGAACACCAGGCTCAGTCATCTTCAGGCTTGGGAGGAGGAGCACTACTTGTAACCTGGACAACAGCAGTAGGACTAGTAGAGATAGAATAGGCAGCAAGTGCAGCTTGGAGTTTTTCTATGTCCTCTTTTAAAGAATCTTCATAAAGACATTCAAAGTCTGTAGGAGAAATCTTTTTCATCCTGGACAAAAACTTTAGGATTCTCTCTTGGCTGATCTCGGCATAAGCTTGGGGTCCCCACAGGAACTTATAGCATGGAGGATCACTAGCAAGCACCTGGCGGTACTCCAGGTACTTCAGCCTCACGAAATCTTGGGTGAGGAGCTTCTTAGTATCTCCAAACAGGACATGTTTCTTGCCGGGGTACACCTGCAACTTTTTCAGGAATTTCCAGATATCTTCCTCAGAAGCACAATGGTTCTTCATGAAGATCACAGAGAGGACTTTCATCAGGAGACCAGTTTTAGGATAGCCCCTGCCAGGACGAACCCTCCCATTGTTGGGGAGGTTGAGCTTGCTGATAAGATTATAAGAGTGACGGCTGGACTCCACTTCTCTCACTTCAACTGCGAAGATCACTTCCAGGTGATCACAGGCACACTTGAAAATATCAGAAAATTGAAATCTGTGCCTAGGGTGCAGCGCACGCACCATTTCTTCCCTGGTAACAAGCTTCTTCAAATGAAATTTTTGGAGTATGAGCCACTCTACCACCTCAGATGGACACTGAGGTTCACTCAGTGAACACTCAGTGCAGAGACTGAACTCAGAAATGCTCTCCTCATACTCATAATCAGAAAAATGTAAAGAACTGACCACAGAGCTATCATCAGAAAGGGCACTAGCAGATGGTGATCCTGTCTGAGGTGACAGGGGTGGGCTCCAGTAAGCAGCGCCAGCTGGATCTTGGGAGAAGGAAGGCTCCTTTACCTCTTCTTTTTCTTCTCCTATTGCTGCTGCTGCTGCGGCGGCAGCGGCAGTGGCGGAGGCGGCGGCGGCGGCGGCGGCTGCTGCTGCTGCTGCTGCTCCTTGTTCCACTTCTTTTTCTGCAGCTGCTAACTCTGCAGTTGATGACACTTCTTCCTGTGCACCTTCACCATGCTGTCTGTCACCTCTGGTCTGCTGACGTTTCTTAGGAGCATGGCGACGTTTGCTCTTGTGACCACGAGGCATGATTACTCTGCTTAGGCCCAAGAGGGACAAGTATACAGAGGATGGCTTGTGCTGCAGGCACCTGGAGGAGGCAAAGGAGACTGTGAGCATCTCAGCAGAGAGATCTCTCCTAGGCTCTCTGTGGGTCGCTGAAAAAGTAGTGCTCTAGGAACTAAAGTTTTCTGACTGTACTAAGTCTGTTCTTGAGGAAGACACAGTGAGTTGTCAACCACATCATGCTGTCCCTTTCTATGGGGTACTGGAGTGGTGACAAGGACCAGGTATTGGAGTGTTGTGTTTTGTGTTGTTGGGTCCTCTTACTTTTCCATCATACCACTAATTTTAAAGTGTTTCCGTACATTGTACTTTTGCTATTCTGCAGTTGACCTATAAATCCCTGAAGGGAAAATTCTGTATCCCAGGGCCCATAGGTGTAAGTGGAAGACATTCTTTGGCAATTACCATGTCATGTGCTGTACACTGTGAGCTACAAAGAATTCCCCTCTCTCTCTCATGGGATTCTATAGTATGCAATTCTACTTCAAAAATTCTCTTGATTTACAGAGGCTGCCTGCTACTTTTTCTCCTGAATGGTAGCTGAAACATCATGCCAAATATGCTTGTTGCATTGCAGATTTGCTATGAAGCACGGCCAAACAGGAAGTGTGTGACACCTGTTTCTTGAACTAGGACTGCTGACTGTATGCAGCAGGCTGCAATTCTGTGATACCCAATTAGTCAAGGCTTTGCCTTTAATCTCTCATTGGACCTCTGAAGCCTTGCTTTACCTGGGAGCTTTGTGGTGTTGCTATCTTTTTTAACACTCTCCAGGAGGACATGACATCACCTCACCTCCTTCTATTCTCCCAATGTGAAGAACAACTGATGATTTTGTAGCACCTGCTTGCTAGTTGCCTCAGATCTCATAGTACCCACTTTACTTTCTAGGAATACCTAGAAATGCTCCTACTGTGCACCTTAGGCCTTCCCTCTTAGACAAAGTCCTCATCACTCCTAACATCAAGTCTTAGTCCAAAGCATGGAGGAAATCAGTGTTAGTCACAACTCTATCCCAGATTGCTATCCAAGCTTGGATTACTCCACACAGTGTCCTTACTGTGACTCCCAAATACCTGGAAAGTGCCTCATGGTGACTGCCAGCTAATGCCACCCCCCAGCCAGAGACACTCACATCCACAATACTCCCTTTACAGAACAGTCTAATAGTCTCAATGAAGATAAGACGGGGGCAGCAGTGCCTACTCTGTCTGTGGGATGCGAGATCCCTGAGCCTAGCCTGGGTGATCTCCTGTTGAGTCTCGGCACACAAGTGTGCTCCCCAGGCTTCCCTGAGCCCTCACCGTAAAGCCAGCCCTGGGTTCAGCCTCTGCTTAGTGCAGCACACGAGCCCCCACTGTCGTCCCGATGGCCATCCATTTTGAGCACACGCCCTGGCACGCAAAGAGTTGCCATGGCAACCGGGCCTAGTTTCCAAGTTCATGGTGAGTTTCTTTATCCAGTCCCACACTGCCAAAACCAGTGTTGCGCCCCCCTCTGCCATCCTAAGCCCTCAATTGTCAAAAACCAGTCTACCTCAGCCAGTGTGCACTTCAACGCTGCTCCCCCACACACCGCCCTCAGTCCCCATTCATCCTGAGAACAGAGACAAGGCTTTACTGGGCAGGAGCTGGCATCCTCTTCTGAAGCGTGGTCTTCTCCCTGCTCTCTTCTCGCTCTCGGTACCCTAGAACGTAGGACTGGAGCAGCGGTGCCCACTCTGTGGCATCGGAGACCCCTGAGCCCAGCCCTGGCGACCTCCTGTTGAGTCCCTGCGTACATGAGCATCTCCCCAGGCTGCCCTGAGCCCCAACCCCACCACCTCGCATTCCAGGTCTGCTCAGTGCAGCACAGGACCCGCGGCTCTCACCCAATGGCTGTCCATTTTGAGCACTCGCCCAACATCAAATTGGTCTCTGGTGCCATCCGCGCCACTTTGCCACCAAATTCGGGGTGGGCTTCTTTGTCCTCTCCTGCACTATCACAGCCACCGCTCTGCCCCTTACCATCCTAGACCTCGGGGGTGAACAAGCAGCCTACCCCACCCAACCTGCGTGCTTCGGCAATGCACCCCACCAGCACCACCACCCCGAGAACGCAGACGAGGCCTTGCGGGCCGGCGTCGACCGCCCTCTGAAGCGGGGTTTTATCCTCTCTGGAGAGGGCCTTACCGGAGCCCAGCAAAGCCTGGTTCCCCTGCTGAATCTCGCAGATACGGCCGTGGTCTGCACGGCCCCTTGTGCTGAGGTTCGTGAGAATTAAGCTCTACCAACTCGGCTGTTGAAGGACCCAAGGGGCACGCAGCAGGGCAACTGCTGTGCCACACACTCTGGCCAGTGCTGCTGCTCGGCTCTCTCCTGGAAACTGGACAAATCCGGCTTCCAACTGTCTGCCCTACCCTCAGCCCCGCCTCCTCGTGGGCGTGTCCACAGTTCAGGGTCATCCTTCTTTAAATTTAATATTGCTTTGAAAAGTAAAAACAAAGCAAGAACAAAAATCAGAAACAAAGAAACAGGGCAAAATATAACAACATATATGTTACAGATTTTCAAACCAAAAGTAGGTGATCAACAATGGTTGATAAATTATCTATTTTATCCTCAAATCTGTTGATCAGATTAACAGATATAGTTATGTAAGGTTGGACATATGGTTGGATATTACCACTTGCTTTTAAGAAACCTTAAATTTTTGTTCTTTTCTTTTTTTAACTTTTTTAAAATTTATTTTACAGAGTATAGTAATAATTGATATGATATGAGAAACTTTAGCAGACCAAGATGACAAGTATTCAAGCATGGTTTTTGTGTTACACATTGCTGTCCTCTATGTAGATACTTCAAATATCAGCATACAGAGTTAGTCAAGATGAAAATTTTACCCTTTAACACTATTTTCAAAAAAAAGAACAATGGAAATTCTTACAACAATCACCTCATCCATACTGTATATATACTTGCATACTTTTCCCCTACCTTTTTCTTATCTTTTCTCCTTTCTCTGCTCTTCCTTGTTTAACACTTAAGTTGCTTTTCTTTCTGCTATACTATATCAGTTTTACTGTTCAGGTTTTACTTCTTATTTTGGTTCTTACACTAGGGAGACAATATGATATTTACACATGTGGATCTGATTCATATCACTTGTGAGTATATCCTCTAGTTGCATCAACTTACCTATGAAGGGTTTGAGTTTGTCTTTTTTAAACAGCTGAGTAATTCTCCATTGTATAAAAATACCACATATTTTTTTATCCATTCCTCTGGTGATGGGCATTTCGATTGATTCCACGATTTGGCTATGACAAATTGTGCTGCTATGTACATGGATGCACATATGTCATTGTGCTATGATGTTTTCAGTTCTTCTGGGAAAATTCCCAGAAGAGGATAGCTAGATTGAATGGGATTTGCAGTCCTAGGTTTTGGAGGAGCTGCCTCACTGATTTCCACAGTGATTATACTAGTCGACATTCCCAACAACAGTGTAGAAGGGTTCCTTTTTCCGTGCCTGTAGCCCCTCCAGCATTTATTAATAGTTGATTTCTTTATGATAGCCATTCTGTCTGGGGTGAGATGATATCTCAATGTTGTTTTAGTTTGCATTTCTTGAAGGGCCAGTGATGTTTTCATGTATCTATTTGTCTCTTGTATTTCTTCCTGTGAGAAGTATGTATTCATGTCAGAAGTTCATTTTCATATTAGGTCTTTAAATTTGGGGCCCTAATGTTTTTTTAGTTCTTTATATATTCCAGATAGAAGACCTTTGTCTGAGTGATTATTAAGATTTTTTCCAAATTTGTAGGTTGTCTTTTCATTCTATTGGTTACTTCTTTTGACATGCAGAAACTTCTCAATAAGAGGAGGACCCAGTTGTTGATTCTTTGAAGTATTTCCCATGCAGCTTGATTTTTGTTCATGAACTACTGGCCTACCTCTATATCTTCAAGATTTCCACTTAATTTCTCTTCCAGGAGATTTGTTGTTTCTGGCTTGATGTTTAGATCTTTAATCAATTTTTACTTTAGCCCTCCCTGTGGGCATGTCCACAGTTTATGGACCTCCTTGAGGGTGTGTCATACCTGCTAGCCAGGGTGGGCTTGGACCTCTGCCAGGGAAAGGTAGGCTCTGCCTTAACCCTGGGTTACTGTATTGGGTTATTGCCATTAGTATTTTTCCAAGTCCTCATCCTGACACTTTTCCCATTGAGGAAACAATTCCTTGAACATGCTGCATCCCTGAAAATATTTGAGCATTGCTCATCTTCAGATAGCGGGAGAGTAGCTCTTTATTTCTGCTTTGAGTTTATAGGGGAAAGTTGTGCATTTTGAATAGGGGCATTTGTCAGATGAAAGCAGTAACATTGTTTTCTTTATCATTAGCCTTGATGTTTAAGCTAATTCTGTCTATAAGATTTAGTTCCAGGCTGGCCAAATAGTTCAGCGGATTAAAGCACCTGCTTAGGCAGACAAAGGAGTGGGAGATTTTATCCCTTCCCTGCCGTGCTGGTCCCGCTCCGGGGGTGCTCTGAGATGGTGATGATGGCACGTGCCTGTATTCCTAGCTCTTTGGAGGCTGAAACCAGGGGGTTCACTACAAGTCCGATCTATGGAGTGAGACCCTGTAGACCCTTAATAAAATACAAAAGAAAAAAAAAAGATTTAGTCTCTAGTGCAAAGTTTCTGCTGTGGATAATTTGGGGACAGCATAATCTTTTAAAAAGAACTGTAATGTTTATTGTACTATGTCTTGTATTCTGAATAATTACTGTGAGGAAAACAATGTGTAATGTATTAATTATTGTAATTGTGCTACTAACCTATTTTTAAACTTGCCTCACTGCAATTTTTATCTTTTGTTTTCTTTAAAATAATAAAGTACTATTACAAAAAAAAAAGAACTGAGAGATCTTATGTACATGGTCATATTGTTAACATGTATTATTTCCTTCTTTTTGTACACATA